CCACAATGCCTGGTATTGCCTTCAGAACTTCCTTGATACTATCCTGGCCGTTTCTGCAAGCACACAAAGGAGAAAGATTTAAGTTGATTGCATTTGCAAATCATTCCAGCCATACCTGCACTAGAAAACACTGCAGTTCACAGGGTGCTACTCCATCTGTGCTTACAATAGTAAGGAGCACTACTGAGCCTCCATGTGATGTTTCACAGTCTTTTTATAGCCTAGAATAGATAAGCACTCACAGCGCACTCAAATTCCTACATTACTTTCTGTTCCAGTTAATGATATATCACCAAAAGGTGTCTAATTTATTTGGTTTTCAATACATCCCCTTCCTCAGAAGCTTGCTGACATCTTAAGATATTAACCTATCCGTATTTTCTCTCCCTTCACACACACTCCCCCCTACCCCCAAGCCCCGTATCATTCCCAATCACTTACCATTGCCTTACACTTGAACTGGTAAAACAGAGCTCCCAAACATCCCACATCTGTTTTAAATATGCAGTCAGCCAGCTTAGCCCAATGAAGCTGCAAGGGCAGGTTTTACTGAGCCCTAGGACTTTTGCCCTGGAGCTGATGAGGCACAAACAGCTTGTTCTCTACAGTGGAGGTGGCTCCTTTCCTCCACCTTTAACAGCTGCCACTGTTTCTGCAGGTAAGTATTTAACTACAGCCTGAAGACAGAATATTATTGGTACAGAACAGTCTTTGCTACTACTGATGAGTTTATACTCTATGGAGGTGAAAAGTAAAGGGTGGGGAAATAGCAATAACAAAGCTGTTAGTCTCCACCTTTCCTGGAATATCTACATGCTTAATTTGTTATATGAAACTTAAGGACCCTCCCTTTGCATTATCAGATAATGTCTCCTTCTAAAACAACCTCTTTGAATTTGCTTGGAGAAAAATGTTCTTAGTTTCTTCCAAATACAGATGGAAGATGCCATTTCCCAGTTGGCTAATGGTCACTCAGCAGAGGTGCAAGTACTGAAAGCAAGGATGATGAACAGGCGGAAGCAGTATAATGTTTTTGTGTCTTTTTTTGTGGCCATCTTAGTAATGTTAGATATCCATTCAAGTTTCTTCCTTACATTTCAGCAAGCCGTTGATACCAGCTTGAGGCTTTGGTACTTCTTGGGAACCAGACTGAGCTTTAGGCATGTCTGTTGGCCCCTAACAGAGCTTTCCTGGGACAACACACACTGTAACACCCAGAACTAAGAGCCAGAACTGAGAACAAATTCTTACTTGGCTGAGGGGATCTGGCTACAGAACAGAACTCTAGGAGGGGTCAGGCATATTCAGAGCCTGAGCAGTCTCAGCAACACTGGTGTTCCTCCTGAAAAGGCCTGCCTTTCAGTGGATTGCTCCCAGCATTGGTACTCCTTTCTCCTGTCAATCTGAAACCATCAGCCTTAAATATTAATTAATCACTTTTCCAGGAACCTTTGTCTCCAGCAGTGCTTCCTCACACTTGCACCTAAGCTGTCGAAAGGCCTATAAGTGCTTGGTACTGCTGGCAGGGTATTAGGTAGCAGTAATATTTGGTATACAGAAATGCCTGCTTTTCTCACAGATGTCTCTAGAGCACAAGTTTTGTGGATTATCCAGTGTGTGAGTGTATTTTTACCTAATGTTAAATGTTTGGTTATTGTTACCTCTCTGTTTTTGCAATTAGTAGGTTTATAAGGTTAGCAGATGGGCGACAGTAAAAACAACAACAACAAAAAAAAACCTCTGAAAATATAAGTAACTGTGAAGGCAGTTATTACTTCTATGCTAAAGTCTGCTAGAATCTTGTAGAAGAGCTTCTCGCTGTTTTGGATGAAAGGTGTTGAAGTAGATCACTTTATGAGTAGATACTGTTGCTGATGGAAAAAAAACAGCACATATTCAGCACTGAAATAAATATATAGTTATTTGAATTAACTGGGAGCTGGGTCATGACTCTTCATTGGAGATCACTGGTGTATTGTGTAGTAAAGGTAAAAAAGTGAAAATGAGCAACTGTGCAACCTTCTATTCCAAGTGCTTCAATCCACCACATGTGGTACCATAAGAACCTTCAAACAACTCTAATTTAGGAGGCAGAAGTGTTATAATCTGATTAGTACTCTCTATGTAACTTTCTCAATGTTTGTATCAAAGCTTCTTACTTATCTGTAAAAAAATCACTATTAAAAGCTGCATTGGTGCTGGGAACCTGGTGATTTCTTACCTACTAAACTCTAGTTTCCATATGAATTGTGTTGGGGTTGTGCCCCCTTCAGAAGCAGGGGCTCTTGCAAATAGCAGCTTTAGACTGAAATCACTTTGATGTTGATGTTACTAACCCTGACATAACTTATACAGGTTGTGGTTATGGTAAATAAATTGCTTAGCATGCTGCTACACAATACACACAATAAAGAGCCAATGGGAACTTTTAGGATCTAGAACAGCTCTAAAGCCCAGGTGAGAAACAGCTGAATTTAGATATCATTAGACTATGCATTGCTAAGGGACAAAGACTTGACAATGTCACTTATAGTTACTTCCTTGTTTGGAAAAAAACAAAACCAGGTGACTGGGTCTTTCTAAAACTGAGGTAGAAAGAAAAGCTCATAATCACTTAAAAAAAAAAAAAAAAAAAAAGAAAACAACCTTTTAGCTAACTCTTCCTCTTGTAAGGAAGAGTTGTCCTCTCCCTCACTCTTACTACTCTGCTATCCAAATTCCTTTGCATTTTCTTAATGCAAATTTAGTACTTTCCCTTTATGTTTATATCATTAAGCAGAATTGTTTAATATCAGCTTTGTCTAAACCAGTAACTATCCCACGTGGTAACTATGAGTTTCTGTGTCAGGAGGGGTTAACAAATTAGTGTTAATTGTGTCCTGCAATTCAGCAATAGCTACTGTCTAACAATTTTTACCTCTTTGGTACAGATTGTCTTAATATTTCATAGTGTTGTATAGCACAGGATGTAAACAAATTATGTTACAGACTCCGTGATCTTCTTTTTCCTGGCATTGTTATCCCAATTAAAACTCACAAATTTGCTAGTGAGCCAGTAACTTCTTTGATTAATTTACTGTTCTCATTAGCAGTGTTCTAGGGTCTGTCTCGCATTTGTTAAGGCTATACTCAAAATTGGTCTTGGAAAGGATTATCTGAAAAGGCATAGACATACATAAACAGAGAGATGGAAGGGAGTTGCTCAAATGTGCTTAGTCCCCAGTAGTTGCAGGTATCTGCATTACTGCTGTTTCCAGTGTAATTAATGCTCAATCACATTTATTTATATCATTATTTTCCTTTTGCATATGGCTTCTGGACCTGATGTTTCTATTCATTTGAAGAAATTAAGTCTCTTCAAATTTTTATCTATACAAGGACTTATCTGTTTCTGTCCCATGCTATTTTGTAGTATGATACGCAGAAATCCTAAGGAACAGTATCTGTAGATTTATAATACTCCAAAATGCTCTTAATATAACACCTGAAGTAATTTTAGCAAGGTAGGTGTAGGGGGTTGCATGGACACAGACCCAAATGCAAATTGCACAGGTCTCCAGGAGACCAACAGTTTCAGTGAGTGGTCTGAAGGTGGGCTTGCTCTCACTGTTGAGTCCTAAATCCAGGAAACTAATGGATGCCAGTTACTGCACTACCCTTCCTATATTTAGATACTGATCATGCTTTAAAAGTAATAGGCCATAATACTTGTTAGCTCTAATATTAGAAGTACCTGAAGTGAGGCAAAAGGAAGAATAGCAATTGAAGGTAAATCTCTGCATCTCAATTCCCTATTTTTAATCCTCCCAGTTATCTTTTCCCTTTTAATCAAAAAGCTGTTTCAAGGTAACTTCGGTATTACTCAGTTGTAGCAGTAAACTATATGGGAATATTCATTATTTGACCATATCTAAAGAAAGATGACCCCAAATTATAAAACACTGAGTTCCAATTGTAACTGCATTAAGAAAATACTGTGTGCAAAAAATTCTCCCAGCACAAGCTGATCTGTATCTAAAAGCCCTAGGTGTAACCTGGACTTCAGAAAAGGCCAGCAAGTCATTTCTGCTAGTCCTGTAATCCCAGTGGTGTTATTTACCTGGAACAGACTTTAGATGACTGCACAGAGATTTGGATGATTCAGAAAGGTGAAGGTCCAAGGCAGGTGGTGAGCCAGCCTGTGTGGCTGTACTGATGTCCTAGACTGGGGAGTGATGTTCCCTTTACAGGAAGAGGAGTCAAATGGCTCTTATTAAACCCATAATTTGTGACTCTTGTATGCCCAAATGTAATGCAAATCTGCTGTTCTTCTTGTTTGAAATTACTGACAACAGAAGACAGAATGGAAGTTCAAGGAAACGGTTATAATAAGCACCACCTCAGAGCCTCATGCTGACTTCAATTTTCTTATGTCTTTCCCTGCTTTGAACTTTCTAAGTTATGTCCCAGCAATTTAACACTTGTGTTTTGTGTTAGGTGAACTCTTTTAATATAAAAAAAGCCTGAAAGTGCATGTTTGATGGTAACTGCTAATTCAGTTGAGACTGAAGTCATCAATACAAGAGAATTTAGTAGTGCTTACAGTTGTGATGCAGCTCATTGAAAGGGAAATAAAATAAGGGCAAATATTGATGTCTTCCTTCCAGCATTTGCATTAGCTACAAGGCTTGTTCTGTGCCAAGGATGAGAGAACTTGAGTATTTGGTTTGTATTTGAGAGCCCAGTGGGTCAACTGCTTAAAACAATAAAGGTGACTTTAATTCAGATGATCAACACAATTAATTGTTGATAATGGATCTTTGTGGAGTTAGTGGTCTTAAGTACTTCAAAGATCACCTGCTGAGGTTCCTGAGTTTTAGGTTGCATTTTAGGGATGGTGCTGGTGGGGTATTTTTTTGTTGGTGGTGGTTTTTGGTTTGGGTTTTTTGAGGTGGAGGTGTATGTGTGTTTGTTTTTTGTTGTTGTTCTGTTTCTAACCTTATGTGTTACTTCGGGTTTCATGCATCTTGGTGGATTGCTTTCTAAAATGTGGGAGAGAAAAAAGAGCATGTGGAAGAACTGTGTCCATACAGGAATACGGTTGGAAAGGAAGGTATAACAAACCAGCTTCTGATTCCTTGTGTTGGATTGTGCCTTTCAGTGTCACTTTTGACGGCTAACAGTTCTTTCTAGCAACTTCTGGGATACAAAATGTATGCAAAAGAAGGTAAACCTTTGTGGGAAGAAGTTTTGATTTGTCTAGACAGAGCTTCCTTGACATAACGTAGATAATTGCTCCCTAGCCTCCTGCAGACTACTACCTATGAGCAGCTACAGCAGCAGCTTATTTATGCCTGTTAAACCAGAAGTTCTGCCTGTTGTTTTTCCTGCCTTCATCACTTTCCACTGCTATAGTCTAGCTATGTTATACCAGGACATTAAACATTCAGCAAACAGAATGTCTAGACAGGCTGGAAGACTGTGCTCCATTTTTCAGAGTCAACTTTCCTAAGAATTAAAAGGCTATTTGGAAAGAGAAAATGGCAGAGTTCCTACTATGAGACATCTTCAGGCTGCCTTCTGAAGTGAGCATGAAGTAAGAAACTCTGGTAGGGATTTCTAGCAGTGCACAAAATTCCTGTGCAAACCCCCCTCTTTCCCAGAGAGGCTTCAAGCATTTGATAGTTATTGCTAATGTCTTAAACAGCTTGCACTTGTATTCTAAGGACACAATACTACATATAAATGTACCCTGTTAGCTGGTAATGTCCTGTTTAAATAACAGAGGAAAGGACTAAAAGGTGACTTCCTGGCCACAGAAGACAGGAAGGATCTTTCTGAGATAGAAACAAATGTTTTCCATTTAAAGTATGGGACATGTGGACCAACAGAAATATTTTGCTGTGCATATATGCTAGTTTTAGCAATGCTACATAAGCAAGCAAAGTAACTTTTTCCCATATAACCTTTGTTTTCTTCAGTGCTGACCTTTAGTCACCCTGTATAGTAAAAAGCAAGTACTTGTTTCCTGCAGGGTGGAAATTGGTGTTGTCTCTAGAGGCTTTGTAAACTGCAAGTTCAATACCAAATAAGGGCAGATGATCCTGTCACTGTTAATCTACCTGCACACTCTGTATGATTGTGCTATAATGTCGTAGAAAACTTAAGCCTTGATTTCAGGCCTCAGAACAAGCCTGGGAGGCTTTGCAAGAGGATGGAGGAAGGGAGGGCAGTCATCCTGTGCAGCACTGGCTGCTGAATCCTTGTGCTGCTTGCAGGAATGAGGACACAATAGTCCTCCTATCAAGCCATGTCTTTGGGGTCCTCCCCAGCTCCCCCTTCCCTGGGCAGCTGAAGATTCCTGGGAAGCTTTGAGATAAACTTCTTAACTTTCAGTGAGGTTAGAACAGCATCCTTGTGTAAGTGCTTAATAATCTGCATTCTTTAAAGCAAAGCAAATTTTGCTGTGCTAAAGAAAGACAAGCCATCCAAGAACAGAGAACATCGACAAGCCTTTAGACCAGTGGCCAGGGTATTGAGAAGCAGCACACAAGATGCCCAGATGAAAAAGGACAAACAACTGAATGTGAGCACCCACTAGATGAAGCAATTAAAAGGGGGTGACATTTTTACCTGTATTAATGACAATAAAAGGTAGGTGGCAGATTTACTGTCTTATGCTATTCAAAGTCATACAGAGTTAACAAAAATTTGGTTACAACATTCAGTACATGAAAGTACTGAAAAAGAAATGTGGGTTAGAGCTAGAAATCTACCATAAAGCATTTGGGGACTAGAAAAAAGTCATTTAAAGAAGGTTGCAGTTTAATTTTTCAAGAGATTGAAAGGTGATTTAAGCATGCATAAATCCTTGTGGAGAGAAAATGAGTATAAAAGAGCTCTTTAATCTATCACTTAAGAGTATAACAAGAACCAATGACTGGCAACTAAAGACAAATGCAAAGTTTAAAAGCATGTGCCCTTTTTCCTATAGGGAAAAACAATTCACTAATGAAAATAAAAAAAAAACCCAAACAAATAACAAAACCCTAAAGTTCTGATGCCTTCAAATTAATATCCTTTGTTGGCAGCACTGCTCCTAGAAACAAAGGTTATCTGCCTCACTGATTTCTGAATTTCTTTGTCTTGGGTTTAAGTCAGATGAAATGATTTGATACTCCCTCACAGTTTTAAAAACCTGTAAAATGGGAACCCTTCCCCAATTCGGGGGAGAATGCAGAGAGCGGATAATTCTTGGGAGAAAAGGAACCCAAGCAATGAAGAGACTGAAAACATTGCTCCAAGAAAAAAAAAAAAAAATATATATATATATTGGTCTCTAAAACAGCTTCCTTAAATGCATTTTTTGGTCAGTAGTTTTGACTACACCTGTCATTCATAGGACAAACAAGGAAGGCATAGTGAAGTCAGCTGGCTGAAGACTTAACTTTTAGTTGTACATAGCAATTGCTGTCCTGGTTTACAGCAGTGGTCCTCCCGAGTAGCTCTCCTAGCTAATCGTGCAGTTATGCCCTGGGAGGGTGGGAGAGGGAGAGAAGGAAAGGGAAACCTGATAGCTCAGTGTCCTTTGGCAGCCTTTTGACTTGCTGGATAATGTATGATGTAGTCCTTCAGCTCTTGGTACTGATTAGGCTCCTCTGGAGCTGTGTGTGGGAGTTTGGGCTCTGCATTTCAATAGAGGTGGATGTAATAGAACCTAAAGGTGTAGAAAATGTGACATAAGAAACTTGGCTTGTTTCTTCAAGGGAATATGTAATAGCTTAAGTACTGGTTTCAGTTTTTAAAGTTGCTGCAAAAGGAAATCAGTGCTTTTCCTTCAACACTTGAAGGAGATGGGATTAAAAGCTCCTGAATATCCCTTAACTTGCTATCTTCTTGATACAAGGCAAAGCTTCCCAGTAGGGTAATGAAGGACTAGTAAACATAGTTAAGAAAAGGTGTGTAATCTCTGTTGAAAGCCTTCAGGAGCAGGTATTCAAAACATCTGTCCAAATGACATGGGGTGACCCTGGTTTTGTTATGATGCAGATAAACTTCGGGTCCTTCCTGGATGTAAGATTCTTTTTTTTTTTTTTTCCCCCCCCTGCTTCTTTTGGGCTGATGGCCATGCGGTGGTGCACTGTTTAGCTGAAGGCTATGACTTTCTGCAAATGGATATTGTGCTGAACAAGGTTGTAAGTGTTGCCAAAGAATGTACATCTCCTCTTGATTCTAAGTAAAATCTATCAACCAGTTTAAAAGGCAAACATTGTTCCCTGATAAAATACAGCTGGTGTGCATATGAGCTTAGTCAGCAGACTATAAAATAGCATAAGCTTTCCATAGTGGTCAGAAACATCAAAAGCAGAAAGTGTATTTAAAAAAAAACAAACCCAACCCTCCAACAGATTGTTATAATTATTAAATGTGACACATCACAAGTAGTGATAGAATATAACTGCCTTGATATTACCCAGACAGGAAGAAATAATATGGCTTCGGTCTGTGACTGTATACAGATTTAAAAACTCAGAGAGAGGGTGGATCATCAGATATCAGAGTATGTGTAGCCCATAATTTAAAATGGGTTTGCTATCATAGGAGAGGCATATATTTACTGTAACACACAGCTGCAACTTTTGAACAAGTTAACAACTTTAATGCCACTCTACTTGGGAACACGGGAAGATTAAACTATGCAAATCTGTTCCATGAACTGCCTTAATGAGATGCACTGGTGTATAAGCCTGGTGTGTGGTTAGACTTACCTACAAAGTAATGCTTGTAAGTTCATGTGCAATACCTGTCAAAAACCTTCCTGTTTAAAACTTAACAAAACAGAAGTAGGGAAGCAACAGGAACAACACTGCTGCTTTATGGGAGTCTCTCAGGTACTCTCAGTGATCTGGAAATCAGCTTTTGTTGCCTCTGCTTGCCCTTTTGGGGCTGTATCCTGTATGATTTGAACTCCAAATGGAAGCAATAAGGTAGGATGGACATATGACTGCTGCCAGGAGAGCAAGTCTCAGATGGAGCTTTTCTGAACTTTCCCCTTCCTCTTTAGATCACATTTCCTTAAGAAAAAACCTAGGGGAGTGCTCTTATGTGTCTGCTGAGAAAAAAAGGAACCAGAGGCATTTAACCCATTGCAACCAGTCTTTAAAAACTGACAAACCAATCAACAGTTGCATGAGAAGCCTTTTCATAGCATGGTGAATTTGCTTTAAAAAAAAAGAAAAAGAAAAAAAGGAAAAAAACAGGAGAGAAGTACCTTTTCATTATTTGCACTTTAAATCAGATTAATTTGGTTCTGTCTGAATTTCTGAATTGCCTCCTTCTATTACGCTGTAGTCAAAACAGGCTAGTGGTGGAGTGATGAAAATGCTTTGAGTTTTTATTGACAGGGCTGTTCTGGATTTCTTTCAGTGCTCTGTCTTGGCCTTATCTAGTTTCTCTGACCTATAACTTGCTGAGGTAACAGCTAGACCTATCTTTTGTCGTCTGGGTGCTGGGAAACCTCTGGGCCTGCTCTTTCATTTGCTACTTTATCTCCTTACAAAATTTCCCTCTACTATGTAGTTCAGTCATCCCACAGTGCCAGCTAGATGCCTTTTTTTATCTCCAAATTCTGTATTACTAAAGATTAAGAACAAACTGAAGTTGTCAGGGCCCCACAAGTCAGGAAACTAGCTTCAATAAACTCACCTCCAAACCATTAATTTTATGTTCCTGTTGCTTTTTGAGTTTTTGCAGGTATATCTCCTAATGTGAGAGGAAGAAATTATTCAAAACCTAAGGATTTTTCCTATTAATATAGCAAGAAGTAATAATATTAATATAAAGAAGCAAGAGCTTAAAAAGGAACATGACACTGTGTAACAAAACTTTGAGAACAACACTGGTTAAACCTACCAAGTTAAAAAAAAAAATATGCAGAAACACCCATTTTAAACTTTTTATTTTTTTCATTAATTTAGATGCTTCACATCCTAATTGCACACAAAGATATTTCTGAAAAACCGCAAGTTACAGCCTCTTGGTATACTGTCTGTCTCTGGATTTGGGGGAAAAAAATCACTTGAGACACAGTTGTGTTAAACACCAACTGTCTTTGCCATGTTCCCCAGTGAGATGCTGCGCTGGGAGGCTGGAACACACATAACAGCAAGAAGTGGTGCATCCAGAATTTTGCACAAAAGCTTTAGAGGCCTGATTTTCATAAAATGTCCTCAGTATTGTCCAGTAATCACTCTAAATTTCATCAAGGCAGTAGGACTAGAAGGCTGTGTATCTCGTGATCAGAGCTTACCGTTGCTATCACTTCATGCACAGGAAAGATCCATGAAGAGTTAAATAATGGAAGGCAGCATAAACCATAAATTTCAACTATATTCATTAATAGTCAGTTATGAGAATCACACCAGCTTAGAATATTCTAAGAAACAGTCATCTTCACCTGTTCTGTATTCTGTTGTCTCAAGAAATAAACTGAGAATATGGAACAAATAATGTTCCATATTCTGGCTCCAAAAATGTCTCTGATATGATCCAGTAACTGGCAGAATTCTGTATTTTTTTCAAACTGTTCCATATTTGAGATTAATTTAGAACATTCATACAAACCAGCAAATTTAAGAAAAACCCAGCACTGACTAAGATAGATGAATTTCCAGAAGCAGCATGAAAATGGTACTGTCTCTGGGGAACTCATCCTCCTAGTGCAGGGGGCCCACAGTCACCATTGAAAGCTGTCAAAAACTAGCCAGTGTTTTCATAGATGTTGCACAATTGCTGTTTTTGAAGCTGCAAAGTAGGAAAAATATTTGTTTACTTCTAAAGGTGAAAATTAAGCATCAATACTTATATGCATATATTGAATTATATCAAAGTTAAAAGAAAACTGATGATAGGTGACCTTTACAAGTGATTTTCCAAACACTCTTACAACTACTTAAAGCAACTTTCAACTATAATAAATGGCTTTGGAGAGGGGGGCTTGAAAAATATCCTATAATGAGAGAGCTGTAAGTCTTTTCCTTATATAAAAATAGACAGACATATTAGTAGGACACACCGGGTTTGAATAAGTACATGGCATGGACTTAATTGTCATGCCACTCCCTGTGTTTCTGCCATGCAGAAGCATAGATTATCACTCCGTGTGAACTGGAATACAAGGAAGTCCATGTGGCACCTTTCTGCCTGTCTGCTGGGGGCCCAGAAAACACCCAGCTTCTTCAGATGAATTAAGTCTCAAAACATTCTATGAAATAAAGTGTAATCTTCATAGCAAGATAAAATACTCTTAGGAGCCACCTGCATTTACCCTTTAAAAAAAGCCTCTTTAAATGTAAATTTAGCTTTCCACCAGACACAGTATTGCCATGGCAACAAATGCAAGAAAAATAAACATCTTTATACAAAATAGAGGGTTGGGTTTTTTTTTTCCCCTCTTAAACATACTTCACATGAAATAAAGTATGCAGCTATGGAATTAATATATACACAACCTCAGACAGTAAAAAAGAGTATCAGTCTTTTTCTGAAATGATTCTCTGAGATAGAATCAAAAGCACAATTGCACAAAAGAATCACATTGTGTACTTAATGCTATAAGCTAGAGCTCTCATCTTGCAGTTTGCTCTACATGGACTGGAGTGCTGCAGCCTTCAGCAGAGCACTATGCAGGCAGCAGGACCTGCCTCTGCACAAGTTTACAGAACTGGAGTCTAAAATGTAATCTCTCCTAAGTAATTTGTATTTCAAATGCCTTGGTGTGCAAGTTTGCTTTGTACAGTCTACCACTGGAGAGGTTTGTTATTCAAGGGGCATATAAGTAGTAGTTCAAATTTCACCTTTCATTGAATGTAATTGAGGAATGCATTCAGGTTAGGTTTCAAAAATAAGATTGGTGAGTGGTGTACTTTAAATTGCCCACAAACAAACTCCTCCACCTCTTTTTGCATCTGTTATCCCCTAGAGAGGTTGAGGTAAGAAGAGATCCAAGATGGTTGGCATCATTTTCAAGACTCAAATCCCTGCATGGTAAAAATAAACTTTATTTTTATATTATTGTATCCTTTCCCATGTCAAGCTTCAAATGTCACAGTATAGAACTATAGTGACAGTTTTCAAACAGTCATTGTTGAAATGTTCCATGTTTGTTTATTTACCCTCTTCTTTCTTTCCCAAGTCACTTTTAGCCTTTTGATTGCATCTGTTGTGTTTCAAGGCTGCAGAATTAAAATGCCTGTGCTTGGATTTTACTTGTTCCAGGAAGTGAGGAATTCTGTGCTTGCCTGTGAAACAGAAACCATCCTGTGCTCACCTTGCACCTCTCATCCGAATAAGACAATAGGTTACAAAGATTAAGCTGTTTTTTCTCGCTGTTTGGCAGGCAGGAAAACTACATATTATCCTCACTTAAATATTTGTAGAAGAACTGATTTCTGCTATATATGGATATATATTGTGGTGCTGACCTTGGTATGTCATTGACTGTGACAGTCAGCAGGAATGGTGTTGAAAAAGCAACCTCTTCTTTCTCTGCCTGAACTGCTGATTGGCATGCTCAGTAGCATTGGCAGCTATTGCTTTGGGTACCACTCTGTTACATTTGTTGGTATGAAAAGAGTAATGTTGAATGTTTCCAGCAATGGTATCGGCAGAACATTCTACAACCTCCTCTTCAGAGAAAAGATAAAGCAGTCTGTTTTGGAAAAATAATTGTCCCTTAACATGTACAAACAGTTACGCATTACATGTAAAGCTGGTATGCAGAGTTGGATTGCAATGGATTAGCTAAGGCATCAGGGAGCAGTCAGTTTCCTCTGCATGTCTTGGCCTGCCACATCATGAGTTTGACAAGAATATCTAGGCTGGGTCATGCTGTGCACTGTCTTGCCTAGTGTCACGCCTTGGGCAGTAGCTGTTAACGTGGTGTCTAAGGAAGGAACAAATGTAATAAGGCACACTGGCACTACTTCCCACACGTACTCTCCTGTCCTGAAGTTTTGGATCAGCTACATGTAGCAGTCTGCACAGCCAATGTAAGGATGTGTCCTTAGACAGCCTTTGGGACTGAGTGCTTGTAAACAAGTATGGAGGAGAAGCACCTACCTACCTGCGGCAGTTCATACTGGTGCTGCAGCCCTCGAGAGCCAGCCGGCTCCACAGCTCTGCTCTTAAAGTGAGGGCTTCAACCAGGTAAAGTGCTGCTCCCTCATCTAACCCGTTCACCACACGCACAAGGGGCTGGGCATGCTCTGTCCCACAGCAGAGAGACCTGAATGTGTATAATGAATGTTCTGACACATCCTACAGCACATAGGATATGAGCGCATGGGAAATGTAAGTAAAAGGCAATGGCAACGGGTCCCAACCTGCCTTTCTTCTGGAGTTGGTCGCTGTGCTCCGAAGGGAAGTGATAAGGGTACCTTATTGCACTCTTAACTCACTGTATCTGTTCCTTTCACCTTCGCGGACAGGCCTGGCTGGTGCCGTGCAAAGGCTGTGTTCCCATGGTAGTCTAAAACCAGACAGCAGCGCTGCAGGACAAACCCACAGCGCTGCCAGGCCAGGCCAGCCCCTCACCGGAGCGCTCCCCAGCAGAGCCGTTCCGTGCCGGGCCCTGGCCCGAGGGGGAGCACACCGCCTCTGCTCGCATGTATCCACCCCTCCGCCACTGGCAGAGACTCGCCCCGTTCCCCCCCGCCCGCACCTCCCGCCGCGCACGGGTCGACTCGGCCGCCAGGGAGCATGCGCGGGTTCGCCGAGCCAATGGGGCGGCTGGGGGCGGGGCCACGCCATTCGGGCACGGGCGGCGGAGGGGACGCGCTGGTGCCGCGATGGTCTCCTGGATGATCTCCCGGGCCGTGGTGTGAGTGCTGGGCTGCGGGGAGCGGGCAGCGGCTCGTCGCCCGGGCGTGGGCAGGCCCGGGGCTTCCTCCGGCGGGGCTGGGCCGAGCCGAGGGTAGTGGGAGGGAGGCGGATCCCCTACAGGCTTTCCCCCTTTAACTCGTTCTCCCCTTCCCCCTGTCCCTCTCAGTTGGGCGCCCTTTGGACGGCCATTGAATCCCTGTTGGGCCACGGGCGGCAGAGGGGCCGGGTTCGCCACTCCCGGCGCAGGTGGGGCGGCTTTCTCCAGTGCGGCGGGGTCCGCGTCGTGCTGGGCCAGCTGGGCTGTGGTCATGGGAGCGGGCGCCTGGGCTGGAGTGGCGCGGTTCTGTGCCAGCCGACGGCTTAGAAGTACTGTGTTTAAATAAACTAGTCCGCTTCTAGGAGTTTAATGAATAGCAGTCTATTCCCTCCCCTGTTTCTCTTTCTCCTCTCTCTCTCCTCTTTCTCCTCTCTCTCTCTCCCCTCCCCGCCCCCCGAAATGGGCGAGGTAGTGGGCTCTGTGGTTCTGCCCGAGAGACAGAGCCCGAGACTTGCCTGGCAGCGGTTGAGCTGTCTGGTGCCTCAGGGTCGTTTCGCTCTCGGAAGCGCCCACATAACCAGCACCGGCCTCCCAGAGAGCACAGGTTGTCCTGGTCACACCTTGTCTTTCTGTAAGGGCATGTTTCCTAGGGCTGTACAGGCAAGAAGCTTAGGCTGCTGGTGACTGTCACATAAATAGTGAGCACTGCTTGTAAATTGATTCAGGTGAACCTATAAAATCTGTTTGGTAACTGTTTTTAACTTGTGCCAGAGCTGAAAGGGCTAGGAGAACACTGCGGAGTGGGAAATAGGTGTTTGTGGTGAGTATAGGTCATCAGCTGATGTAGAGGTAGACTGACAGCGTTATTGTTTACTGGTCTTTGTAAAGCTGAGTTTTTGGCACCCAAAGGGGCAAACTTCCTTAGGTGAGAAGTACCATTTTACATGTTGTCCGAGTTTTATGTGAGAAAAGGTAAACTCCAGTGCAGCCTCTAGTCTTTTTCTTACGCATAGTACTGTTCATTCATGAAACTGATGGGTTATTTTGCTCATTTGAATAATATTCCCTAATAAATGTTGAGTAATATTTGAGCAGCTGAGTCTTCCTTGTGCTCCTTGCTGAGTAGCTCCGTGACTGTGGGGGCCTCAGTGCTTACTGGGTTGCTTGAGCTGAGATTTGCTGTGTGTGACTTTTTGCTAGGCAAATGAAGTGAACCTGCTCACAAAGCAGTCCAATAAATGTCCAAATTAATGCAAAGTATGGAGTAGAACTGTGTAATTCAAAGCAGGGCCTAATAGGGTTTCCCTGTTACGTTGGTGACAAACATCCCCCTTAAGCTGTTTGGTGTAATTTCATCTGAAAACTTTGTTGTCAGGAAGCCATCTCATACTGCCACATGCATTTTCCTTCTGTAATCTAGCTACCTACATAAGTAGCAGTCACTCTCCCTCTCCCTGCCCTCCCTGAGATTTGTCAGACAATTGAAACTTGTGAATAGAGCATCATGTTCCAGGATTGGCAAAGCATGATGTTGGTTTGGAAGAGAGAAGCTGTGAGAAGAATTGCTGTTGGTGCACTTTGTCAATGTGGTCTTCCCATAGCCAGTACATAAGCACTACAAGCAAGAGGCATGCATTGACTTTCTGTACATCAAATGTAGCTGCTGAACCTGTTTCTGCTTTGTTACGTAGAAGCACTAACCAGAGAGATTTTATTTTAACAACTCAGTCTGTGTTGATTTTAAGGGTGACACCAGCGATGCCAAGTTATGACTGGATTCTAGTAAAGTTAGTTGCTTTTCCCCTGAAATGGATTGCTAAGGGTTGTATCTGAATTTTGAGGATTGGGTCCTCTGTGGGCCTGAACCAATAGGTAGGGAATGAAGAGAATAGCTAGTGCTATCCATGGGTTCACTGCAAGAGGCAATAAAGGTCAATGTATTGTGCAGTTCTGTGTAGTTTGGTTTTCTGGTTCCTCTTGGTCAGTCATTTGTGTGCCCTAATTATTTTTGCTAAGAAGGGAGTCCTTAAGATTATTTATAAATCTTTTCCACCTTTTTGTGTCCTTGTTTCGTAGCTGTGGGACTTAACTAGTTTGCCAGTGTTCAGCTTCCCAGGAAGGGGAAAGTGCTCAATGAGAACTTGGATGGCTTTGAGACTATTGTTTAACTTTGCTTAATAGGGCAAAATTCACATGGAAAAGGAAGGTGGGAAGTAGCACAGAAGTAGCTGTGGTGTGATATAAGAGGTTTTAATTTCAGTGGTTTTGAGGCTGTCCTCCTTGACCTTTTTCTTAGTGTCCACTATGTAATCTTCCTCAATTTGATCTGATTTTCTTCCTGGTCTCTTTCTAGACATACCTGCTAAGTGGCTTTGATTCTCTGACTTGTTTGCCATGAGTTCAGAAGGCATATACTACCTTTTCCTTAACAGCCATAAGAAAGATAGAAATATTTTAATCCCTATGTAGCTGCTGGGCCTGGGGTTGTCTCTTATGTAGTCTTGTAGTTTTGGTGTGGTGACTTTCTGTTCTATAGAAGAGTGATGGATATCCTACATTGTCCATAGCAAGTCCAGGAAGTCCTATTGGGCAGCCATCGGGACTACTTATTGTCTAGACTAGTGGTTGGAGGAAGCAGCAGTTGTTCAGGCTGCAGCAGAATTCTCCTCTCCTGACTGACCTAGTAATTTTCAGGGCAAAAAGAGCAGCAAAATATTAATTTGTAGGTGTGTCACAGTGCCCTCTGCTGACTTTTGACTTGGGGGATTTGTTCTGACGTGTATGTCCGAAGCAAACTTGACTTCTGATTTGAGAGCTTGCAATTTGGGGTTAATCAACACCCCTAGAACAGTTTAGGTAAAGCTCTAAGCAACTAGGTAATGGAACTAGTAGAGAATTACAATTCTTAATTGCATTGAATTGTCTTAGAGTCATGAACAGGAAATGTGGAGTCGTTCAAATTCACTGTTCCACGTAATAATCTTGAGCAGAACATCATCTTAATGATGTTTTTTTTTTTTTTCCTCTTTGGTTTATAGATGCTATTATACTTAGGCATCTAAACATGTGAAATACCTTGTACTAATCACACGTCTTGTTTCAGTCAAGAAGCAGGAGACTTGAAGCACATAATTAAAACATCTCTTCATTTGAAGCTTTGTGTGTATGGGGTGCTGTTGCAGTAAGTATAGGTTGTTACTAAGTCTAAAACACACTGGCTATTGCAACAGTTTTCAGAATTATTACTGCAAGGTTTTTCATTTCTTCGCTTCCAAAACCAACAAACAGTAATTTCTCTCAGAGGCTCAGAAAACTTTTCAAAATGGTACAGCTTCTCAAATTCTTAGTTTTTAACAATGGGAATAGCTTTTTAAAAACTTGTGCTGCCCATCTTGGTAGCTTCTAATAGAGCCTTTGCCTGACTTTTAGTCTGCTTTGATTACTTGCTCATCATTTGTGAGGTCTGAGCAATTGTGTACATGTCAGTCGCTGAGGCAGTATTTAATAGTAAACATGCTGAGTACTTGTCAGTCACAGCCTGGTATGGATGAGATCAGACTATCCTCTTGTGCCAAGCAAAGACGTGAAGCAGCCTCAATACAAAGTAGATGGCCATTTTGTTCTTGCAATCTGTTAAAGCAGACTGTCTGCTGTAATCTGTTAGCTTTTTTTTTTTTTTTCCTGTCCTCACTTAAAAAGGAAAGTTCCCCCATCTGTGTTGGTTTGTAACACTCTCTTTACCCCCATGTTTAAGTACATGTTTTTTTTCCAGTAAAGTTGGTCGGTGGTCATGACTGGTGGAAGGGAGAGTTGTAAATGGTCCACAGGAAGTTGTATTTGTCTTGGGTATTAGTAGTTACTTTTCTGTCTGCTTGTACATATAATGCCTGCCTTCCCCACCCCCATTTTAGAGCCTTGCAAGGAGCAAAGGATGTACAAGTTAAAGATTTAGCAAGTGTTGCTTGGTTCTAATATTAGTTTGTAACTCTAACTACAATAAGGGAGTCAAAGACTGAGGCACACAGGAGGTGACCTGAAGTCAGGTAGTAGTGTTAGTCTCTTTGCCACTTTAGATTGGAGCTGCTTCTTTCATGGTAGTTTCCAAGGCATCCTCTTACTCTACTTTTAATGCCTCTGCTGTTGTTGTTAAACCATTTCCAGATGTCCAGCTGCTGCTAGAATTACTGGAAATCTGAGAATAGGTGGCTGAAGCCGTAACTTCAGTACTGATTGGATTGTCACCAGGAGTATCTGGTTTAGTGTGGTGGTGATGTTTTATGTAACTGTCTATGCTTTGATTGTAAACCTGGATTGGGTCTTGCTCTTGGGATACAAATATTTTAGTTAGAAAAAGTAAGTACAAAACCACCCTCTTGTTTGCTAATCAACATGCTGTCTTGAAACACGCATAATTTATCAGATGGAATTAAATAACAATACCACCACATGCTGCATGGGTGGAGTAGCTATATACGGCCTCATCTTCAAGTCAGAAGGACCATTTGTGGGAGAGTTAGACTGTTTGTAGCCTGCCTCAACCTAGCAGGATGGTTCCAGCTGAAGTATGAAGGATGTCATATGCTGTTGGATGCTGAATGCCTGCTGGTATCCTTCCAGTTTAAAGGCCCATAAATTGCTGCTGCACCTGTGGAGGAAAAAGAGTTGCTGTCATAGTGTGAGTGATTGAGATGGATAGATGTGCTGGGATGTTTGTTTCACTACAGACCTGCAAAGATTCAGTCACCATGTATCAGTTATCATTGGCACTTCATACTATGTTTAAACATATCTGGCTCATCTTTTTCTGGGATTGGCTATCCTGCCCTTCACCCTTCCCTATCCTGTCCTCATTCCACTTTTCAGAGGGCCCAAAAGTTGTGTCTGTGTATTTTTTTTTTTATCAACCCAAATGAAAATTAGCATGCTTGAAAGAGGTCAGTCTTCAGCTTGTTGCAGTGAAC